TCGATTTGGATAAATTTGCTGCCTGCAAGCCTACTTCGATCTGGACAAATTTGCTTCCTGCAAGCCTACTTCGATTCAACCTGCTTCGACCTAGACAAAATTTGCTGCCTGCAAACATGCTTCGATTGGGCAACATTGCTTCCTTCGAACACAAGATTTCGTTTGGACAATATGTTTGTTTCGATCCACATGCTTCGATTGGGCAACATTGCTTCTTTCTATTCACAAGTTTCGATTGGGCAACACAGTCTCCCTTCAGTCACAACTTCGATTTGGAAATACGGTCTCCTTCGATTCACAAGTTGGACCATTGTACTGCCATGCAACAAACACTACTGAGCCTGCTACAGCAGTCCTGCACAACCTACCACTAAACTCCAAAACACTGCTGAGCCTGCTACAACAGTCATGTACTTGCCCAAAAAGGAGTGCACAAGAGCTGCGTAGAAGAAAGGATCGAAACAGCATTCCCAAACTGTTCAAATCATTTTTTTATCCCTCCAAAACTTCAGCAAATCTGCCTATAAATAAAGAGGTTACAACACATTTTTAAAGGGAGAAAAAAAGGACTTTTAGGCCAGACGAACCTCTCTCAAATTTTCTCCAAACAGTAGAACTCTCAAAATTTCATAAACACTTCAGAAAATTCTCAAAAACAACAAACGTTCTCAAACACAAAAATCTCTCAAGTCCCTTCAATACTTGTGAGAACAAACCCAGAAAACCCAAACACTTACTTCCTTCGATTCTGAAGGACAGCCACTTCAGTCCCCTTCGAATCACAGAACCATCACACTTGCTTCTCTTTTCCTTCAAGTCCAACGCTCCAAGCACAGCCTGTGACCCTCTTTCGAATCCAGCATCCAGGCAACCACCACTCAAGGCCCAACACACGTTCCAGCCTGAAGCCAGGTAAGTCACTCTTACCCTTAAACTTTTCGTTTCATGGAATAACATGTAAATAATACTGTTGTTCGTTTCCAGCATGTACATAATACTTTGTGTCTTTTCGTTTCCACATTTTTACCATACCTTTCAGAACTACCTCTTTCGTTTCTGCTTATTGTTTACTTGAACTAGCTGTAATTATTAAACTGTTTTACTAGCATGGCCTCAGGCCATGTTGCCATTTAATGTTTGAAATGAAAGATACAGGAAACAGGAAATAGAAATGAAGCTTCTGGCTTCGATCCTCTCTCTCCAGGTCGAATGAAAGAGACAACCAGGAGGCAAACCACGTCCAATCGAAAGACATTCCCTCCCTGCTCTCAATCTCCAGTCGAAGAAGGCAACAAGGCAGAATCAAAAGACTTCGCCACACACTGACTGCCAGGCCAATCGAAGGACAGAACCTCACTGGTGCCAGCCCCAGTCGAAAGATACAACTCACTACTGCCTTTTCCCAGTCGAAGGATAAAACTTGTTGCTGCCTTTGCCCAATCGAAGGACAGGACCTCGCCCCTGCCAAGGCCCAATCGAAAGACGTGACTTCACTATTGCCAAAACCCAATCGAAGGAGGCCAGAAAATGCCAGTCGAAGTCTGCTCCTGCCAAAATCGAAATACACTCAGTTTTTCTTACTTTTGCCTTTTCTTTTCCTTCATATTTTTTTATGCTTTTGATATGTTTGTAATAGCGTAGGTTTTATCTTTCTGCTTTTTTTTTAGTTACTTTGTACAAATGCTAGTAATTTAGGCAAGATAAAAACAAACCAAAAACAAACCAAAAAGATCAAAAACACTCTTTAATCCTTACTTGAACATACTTTAAAACACGCAAAAACACTCAACAAATCAAAACTCCCCCAAGGGCATGTTAACTCCGTTCTACCGCGATACCGGCTGTGCCTATTTCTAGAACGCATGTGTTAATGTCGCCCACTAAAAAAACACAAACAAATCAACTTTTTTCTAGAGGAACTACGGTGTTTTGATTCCTTCATTGGATACGTAGGCAAAGGGTCGCGAAACCCTCACGAACACAATAATAAAAACTCATTTTTCCCATTAAACAAACATAGTTGTAGATACGTATACCCTTGTACATAACAAACAATTTTTAACCAAAAAAACAGATATTTCAAAAGTTTCTTGCGGAGTACCGCAGATGCATTGGGTGCTAATACCTTCCCATTGCATAACCAACCCCCGAACTCTTGATCTCTTTTAAAAAATGCATTGTATTACTTTTATCTTACATTGCATGTTTTTTTAGGGTTTTATTTCGCTCTTTTCCCTTTTACCTTGGAAATAATAAAACGCGGTGGCGACTCTTGCTTTTGTGAGTCAAGTTAATTAATAGCTTGATCTCCGATTTTCACCACTACACTAACAGTTTAATATTTACGAAATTTAAAATGCGGAAATTAAACTAAACTATTACAAGGCTTCGGGTATTTACATAGCCAAAAATAAACCCTTTAAAAATAAAGCGATAAATAAAAATAAAGACCTAATTAAACTATTACAAACTTGTAGGCAGTTACATCAATATGGTAAATAATAAAACAATAAAGCGCGCGCGATGAAATTAAGATCGGGAAGAAAACTAGGGTTTTGACCCTTCTAATCTAATCAAAAAGAAAAATTGTTTTTTTGTTATTTTTAATTATTTTTGAGAAAAGAATTAGGTTTTGAAATTAAATGTACAATTAATTAGTTAATTAAATTAATTAATGAAAATGATTACATGGCCTATTTTTTATGTTTTGGTTATTTTTAGGAAAAGAAAATAAAATTAAATTAGAAACAAAACCCTAATTATTCTAATTAATTTTAAATTATTTGCAAAAAGAAATTAAAGTTTACCTAAAATTAAAATCTAATTTAATTAATTAATTTTTTTATAAAAAATAGAATCTAAACCTAATTTGTAAAAAGTATTATTTTTTATGATTTTTTGATAAAAAGAAAATAGTTAATTGGTTAGTAAAATAAAATAAATAAATTAAATGAAATAAAAATATAAAGAGAAAAAAAGGTGAAGAAATTGGGCCTGAGAGTAATTTGAGGGGGTGCAAAAATCAGATTCTAGGCCCAAAAGATGGTGACCCACGTTGACCTCCATGATCTCTTGCTGTGCATTGACTAAGTCCCATGATGGTCCCTCATATGCTAGCCTTCAGATCTAGCTTCCAGGAGGTGCAATGGCTGGATGATGAGGATGTATGGTAGTCCCCTGGCTTCTGTACGCGTGAGATCTGTAGAAAGAAATTAAGAAAAATGCAAATGTTAGAGGCAGGGGTCGAACCCCTGACCTCACGCTCCCCAACGCCTTAACGCTTGCCTGGCTACCACTGGGCTATTTGTGTTAGTTGTTATAATAATACAAAATAATAATCAAATATTAAAAGGCCATATATAATAATTCAGCGCGCGAAAATTCAAATGGGCGAATTAGATGAAGCCACGCCATCATCCCCGTCCCTGGTCCATTGGTAAAAAGTCCCAGACTTTTACCTACGGACGTTTGTCCGTCGCTACAAGTCTGCACATTCTCAAAATCAATTATAGGTAAGATAAATTAAAACTAAAGCCATGAACGGCTTCGTCTGGACCTACTGAGTTTAACGATGGCCCTTTCATGGCCCAATTTTTCCTGTGAACGAAGATCCTAATTTGAAGTAAGAAACCCTAATAATGGTGAAATACAATATAGGCCATGAAAACACAATTGAATATTACAGAAATCTTGCAAATATGATGGTGAACAATAATATATAATTATTTTATGCTACAAGTACAAGAATGATGCAATTCGAATTCAAGAAGGAAGCAATATCGTGACTGGCTTACAACATGTTTTGGCACTGGAAAGGCTTTGTTCTTGATTGTTTTTGCTTGCCTACACTCCCAAGAATCGATTGGGATAGCTAGAAGGCCTTGAGGATGCCTGGAAATAGGAATTCGTGTTTACACTTTTTATGGTTTTTTCCAAGTTTTGTTCTTGATGTTGCGCCCCTCTCCAACCTAGTTTTTGGTCTGCACACACTCCTTATGTATTGAGGAATGAATTAGGGTTGAAAGAATGATCACAATCTTCTCCCATCAATGCTTTTGATTTTGATTTGATACACTTGAAAACCATTCCAAAAATAGTCCAAATCCAATCTTTTTGTGCTCCTCATGCCTTTACACGAATTTGATCTGATGCAAGTTGGACATTAAGACAAGTGGAAAAGGCTAGGGCTCATGGACTATGTTGCCAACTCAAGACAAGTGCAAAATATTGGGCCCATTTGGCAAAAATTGAAGTTTTAGGCATAGTTGACTTTTGACAATTTTGCAAAAAAGCTCAACTTCAACAATGCATAACTTCCTCAATTATGATTCTTTGGAGGTGTTATTGGACTTTTTAGAAAGCTTGAGATGTCCTCTAAGCAACCCTTTTGGTCTCATCTCAATTTGATATTCCATGCTCACGTATGAAGCTTTGACAAAATAAGTGTTTTTGTTGACTTTTCAAAATGACCTATAATGTCCAAATTCATAACTTATTGTGAGTGCATATTTTGAACTTGGGAGATGAATATAGATTGTATAACAGAATCCTCTTAAAAATGAGTTTTGGATGGGTCATTTCTCATAAAGTATGAGAAAGTTATGTTTGGTCAAAGTTGAGTTGAGTTTTCCTACAAAACCCTAATTTAGCAACTTTTGATTCTTGATGAATTATGAGCAATCCTTGATGAATCATGATCAACCATTGATCAAATGATGAAATGTACTTCAAAATAAGGATGTTGACCAAAAATATTGAAGTTTGACTGTATGTGGGCCCCAAGAACAATTAAGTGTGGTAGAAAATGGAACATAAGCATCCAATACGACATGGTAATGAATCCTCTGTCTCAAGCAGAGACACTTTTCTCTGCTTTCTCCAACAACAACAACAACAACAAACTTAGGCGTCTCCCTCACGTCTTCAGCAGGATCCTTCAACTTCCGTTACGCTCTGAAGCTGACGTGGCAGTCGAAGAATCACCTAACTGTTTCTGATTCATGGCAGAAACCGAGTCGTCACTCGGTCACTTGGAGACGCACGCGCTTCATATCCATCCAGGTGTTACCAGAATTGTTGTGAGGGCAAGTCAGTCGCTTCACTTTTCATTGGATGATCTTCATCCTGATATCTGGAGGTTTCGTCTCCCTGAGTCTGTCGTCCCGGAGCTCACCACCGCCGGGGTGGTCGACGGTGTGCTCGTCGTCACTGTTCCTAAGGCTGAACATGATGATGAGAATAATACTGCATCTATTGATGGTGGTGGTGCTAGGGTTGTGTTTGCTCAGTAATTAGTGTTGGAATTATTAATAATAAATTCAAGTTTGTGTTGTTGCTTCAATAAAATCTGAAAAAGGAATATTAAGTTTGTGTTTTTAAAACGATTTAATTTAATTGCCTTCTATGTTTGTTCATCTTTTGAGGTTATTATAATGAGTTGCTTTCAGAAACAAAGGTGATTAGAATTTAGAACGGCACATGAGTTTGCTTGATTTTGTGCCCTTGAGTTACTTGAGATTCTGTAATGATTTCTACTATAACTATGTGGTTCCTCTTTTCTTTGGGCACAATACATGTTATGGGGTCCATAGTAAATTCTGATGTTATCTTGATTATGAGATTGGTTAGGACGTGTTTGTTTAAAATTGTGTTTGGATTAAAAGTAAATAGGGGTGTTCGCGGTTCAATTTGGATCGGTTTTAAGACAAAAAATTATCCGATTTAAAGATAAATTTACTTGCGGTTTGATTCGATTTCGGATGATATATTAAAAAAATTCAATTCGAAGGAAGGTCGTTAATCATGTATCTGACTGTTTTGGATAACTCAATAGGGTGCGTACTGGGCCAACATGATGAGTCTGTTCGAAAAGAGCATGCCATTTATTACCTTAGCAAAAATTTTACCGACTGTGAGACTCGCTACTCACTGCTCGAGAAAACTTGCTGCGCTTTGGTATGGGATGCTCACCGGCTAAGGCAGTATATGTTGACACATACCACTCTACTGATTTCTAAAATGGATCCGATCAAGTACATCTTCGAAAAGCCTGCTTTATCTGGAAGAATCGCTAGATGGCAAATGATTCTGACTGAGTATGATATCCAGTATAGAACCCAAAAAGCTATAAATGGGAGTGTACTAGCTGACCATCTAGCTCATAAAGTTGTTGAAGATTACCAATCCATGAAGTTCGACTTCCCCGACGAAGACATTATGACCTTGGACAACATTGAAGGTAACAGACCGTATGACGGACCTGAACAAGGATCCCGATGGACCATGTACTTTGATGGTTCTTCAAATGCACTTGGCAACGGTATCAGAGCGGTACTTATCTCTCCAGAAGGTTGCCATACACCTTTCACCGCTAGACTCTGCTTCAGCTGCACCAACAACATGGCCGAGTATGAAGCTTGTATCTTTGGTCTCAAGGCTGCTATTGACTTGGGAATCAAATCTTTGGTTGTGTTTGGGGACTCAGCTTTGGTTATCAGTCAAATCAAAGGAGAGTGGGACACCAAACATCCTAATCTCATCCCATACAAAGAACATGTCCTGACATTGTTACCTCATTTCGAGCACATTAATTTCGAGCACTTTCCGCGAGAAGAAAATCAGCTAGCGGATGCTCTAGCTACAATGTCTTCCATGTTTAAACTTAATTGGGATAATGAGGCTCCCCAAATCACCGTCGAGCGAATGGACGAACCTGCACATTGTCATGAGATTAATACCGAAGAAGTAGTGGAAAAACCCTGGTTTCATGCAATCAAAAGGTATCTTAAGACTCGAGAATACCCTGAAGGAGCTTCAGTCAATGATAAAAAGTTCTTAAGGAGATTTTTTGCCAAGTTCTTCCTGAGCAATGGTATCCTATACAAGCGCAACCATGATTGTGTTATGCTTCATTGTGTGGACAAGGTTGAAGCTGAGCAGATCATGGATAAACTGCATAGTGGCACATTTGGCACCCACTTGAGCGGACATACAATGGCTAAGAAGATTATACGGGCAGGCTACTACTGGTCTACCATGGAGGCTGACTGTCATCAATATTCCTGTACTTCTCACAAATGCCAAATCTATGCTGACAAGGTACATATTCCTCCAGTTCCTCTCAATGTTCTAACAGCTCCTTGGCCATTCGCAATGTGGGGAATCGACATGATTGGAGAGATCAAGCCTACGGAATCCAATGGACACCGCTTCATCCTGGTGGCTATTGATTACTTTACCAAGTGGGTCGAAGCAGCTTCCTTCGCCTCCGTTACAAAGAATGTGGTTGCCCGCTTCATCAAGCAGAACCTCATTTGCCGGTACGGTATCCCTGACCGTATCATCACGGACAACGGTACAAACCTGAAAAACACTGTGATCACCGCTCTGTGCGAGCAGTTCAAGATTCAACATCACAATCCATCTCTCTATCGGCCAAAGATGAACGGTGTTGTTGAAGCTGCAAACAAAAATATCAAGAAGATCATTCAAAAGATGACAGTCACCTACAAGGACTGGCATGAGATGTTACTGTTTGCTCTGCACGGATACCGTACCACGGCGCGTACTTCAACTGGGGCAACCCCCTTTTCTCTGGTATATGGCATGGAAGTTATTCTACCTATGGAGGTTTATATCCCTTCCTTGAGAATCATGAAGGATGTTGGTTTAAATGAAGACGATTGGATTTATACCCGGCTTGATCAACTTAACTTAATTGACGAGAAGCGACTTACTGTTGTTTATCATGGTCAGACGTATCAAAAACGGATGATCAAGGCTTTCAACAAGAAAGTCAGACGTCAGGTGTATTAAGTCGGAGATCTTGTAATCAAGCGGATCATCTTGCCGCAAAGTGATCCCAGGGGAAAATGGACTCCTACTTACGAAGGACCAATTATGATCAAAAACATTTTTTCTGGTGGGGCTATGATTTTAACCACCATGGACGGCGACGATCTGCCGCACCCTGCGAACGCAGACATAGTCAAAAGATACTACACATAAAGGACCCCACAAGTTGAAAACCCGAAAGGGCGACTTGGGCAAAAATGGGCATCCCGGTGAATCGAAAACCCGAAAGGGTGGTTCAGGCAAAAATTAGGGATAAACAAAAAAAAATCATACACCCGGCAAGTTGAAAACCCGAAAGGGCGACTTGGGCAAAAAAGGGTTTCCCGGTGGACCGAAAACCCGAAAGGGCGATCCAGGAAAAAGTTAGGGAATTAAAGCGTATGACTATGTCTCGTCGGATCACTTTAAGGACAATCTCTTCACGGACAAGCTCCAAGCTTCTGATCAATCCTATCATCTGCAGACGAAGCGACTAATGGACAAGATACTCAGAGTTGCGAAGGCTATAGCAGAATGGGAACCCCATGGAATTGTTACACATAGCCATCTTTATTTGTATAAAATATTTCTCAATTTTATGACAACATTCTCTTACTAGGATGTATGTTTTCTTTGTACAAAATACTTACACAAAGTTAATACAAAGATACTTCAAAGTGCAGAAAACTGTTTGCCTTTTCTTTCTCTTTACACTTGTGTTTTATTTGAAAACGTCCAATGATTTATTAAATGAGCATATGCATTTGAATGTAATCACTGCTTACAAATAAAATAGAATAAGAAAGAATAATTACTAATAGATGAAAGTATAGGAAAGTTATCTTTAGGCTATTCCAGGAGAAATCCCCTGCAATACATCATCCAGATCTTCGGCGGAACTAAAGCCTTGAAACGCATGTCCCCGGCGGAGTTAAGTTTCAAGAATCCCCATCAGAGCTGAGTTTTCAAATCCCCAATCCCCAGCGGAGCAAAACTTTGAATTGCAAACCCTCGGTGAGGATGAAACCTTCTTCCCCAAGCGGAGGTAAAACTTCAGCTTTTGAACACCAGTGGAGACCATCCAGTTTCCTCCATTGTCCCTGAAAAGTCACTTTAGAACTAGATAATTCCCCAGAGAGTTATTCTTCCCCAGTGAAGTTGCCGATCAAATCAGCACGTCACTAAGACCCTCAGCGGAGAGGAAACTTTAAGCTACCAATCCCCAGTGGAAACCATTCAGTTTTCCCCTGATATCCTTAACAGAACGGAGTTTCTCATTTTTTGAAATCCCCAGTAGATTGGCATACAACCCAAACTCCTTATCTCCCCAACAGTATAGCTTCTCCCCACAGAGGTTGTCAAAAAATTTGAATCTTCAACAGTGGTCCAAGATTCATTTTCCCCGATAGCATTCAAAGATTTTATTATCTCCAAGCAGTCAAGGATTTATTTTCCTCAGCAAGACAGCTCATCAGCTTACATACGTATACATTACATTCATATATCATGAAAATTGACAAAAACACATATATTGCATCATACATTTCATGCAACATAACTTTGTGTTTCGACTAATATTTTACCTTTCACAGGATAAGATTAACAAGCTACAAACTTCAAGGATCATGAAAACAGTTTACGGATGCTTCCAAACACGGATGATAATCTATCGCTTGTTCAGATTCAGCTCATGAAAACAGTTTACGGATGCTTCCAGACACAGATGCTAATCTATTGCTTATTCAACTTCAAGGATCATGAAAACAGTTTACGGATGCTTCCAAACACGGATGATAATCTATCGCTTGTTCAGATTCAGCTCATGAAAATAGTTTACGGGTGCTTCCAGACACAGATGCTAATCTATTGCTTATTCAACTTCAAGGATCATGAAAACAATTTACGTATGCTTCCAGACACGGATGCTAATCTATTGCTTATTCAACTTCAAGGATCATGAAAACAATTTATGGATGCTTCCAAACACGGATGATAATCTATCGCTTGTTCAGATTCAGATCATGAAAACAGTTTACGGATGCTTCCAGACACGGATGTTAATCTATTGCTTATTCAACTTCAAGGATAATTAAAACAGTTTATGGATGCTTCCAAACACGGATGATAATCTATCGCTTGTTCAGATTCATCTCATGAAAACAGTTTACGGATGCTTCCAGACACGGATACTCAAGGCTCGTTACCTATCCCAATCGGTTCCTGGCACTCTAGCCATTCTTGTAAAGCAAGCTTTTCGCATAAAGTTCATTCTTGAGCCTCTAACTTGTTCCCTCTGATCACGCTCCATCCATAAAGTCAGAAGCAAGCTTGTTTAAAGCATAACCACTCTATCTTAGCAAGTACACAAAGCTTTGAAACTTGAATTTCTCGAAAATCACATGTTATACATAAACTTGTGATTTTGAATTCCGATCAACAAGAGGTCTCCAAACTTGTT